GTAGCATTCGTAGTAATTTGTGAAGTCATTAAGAACCAGTACCTGCAAACTGTTAGTAGCAGAGAGTTTTTATTACGACTGATGAAAGTGTCAGATTGACTGAGCTAATGAAGCACTGGTATTTGGAAATTAGTTACCACTTCACCAGGATGTGCAGGCTGTACTTTCAGAATTATGTGATGTTAAACCTTTCAAAAAAACCAGATGCCTATGTGCATTTTGGGGAGATAATATTTCGAAGTGTTGTGTGGTGGAGTATCTATCTTCACACAGAAAAATATGGCCATACAGAATTGCTACAGCCAGTTTCAACAGAAAAATGTTAATTATGCTATTATTTTGTTTCTTAGAAACTGTTATTTCTGGCTTGCAAAGACCTGACAGCAGAGGAGCCTTGTAGCTTGGATCTTTGCTGTGAGCCAAATTAATATACTATCAAATTATCATTTCTGTGAATTTTGAGGTGTGAGAAAGCAGTATGAATCTTGTTACAGTCTTCAAGGGGTTGTCAAAAGGCCATGAATCAGGTGCTAAATGCTGCAACGAGGGCAGTCTGTGTCCAGGCACAGCAAAGCCACTGAAGAATATGGCATTAATTTCGATTCAAAGTCAAAGGTGGATTTAGATAAATTGACTCCTCAGTGATACCCCATGATTATCACAGTGGTAATTTTTAAAACTGTCACATCAAAATGAAATCATTTTATTGTCAAATCTTGGAAGACGTTGCAATGTAGTTGGTCAAGTTTGTCAGTAATTCCATTGCAAAGGTGGGAGAGGGGAAAGAAAGGAAAGGACTGGTCCATTCACTGTCATCAGCTGTGATTTATTTTTTTATTATTATTATTATTATCCTGCTCAAATCTTGTCTGAACTATGGCACATGTGATAAGGTTCCCTTTGGTTGCCTCCCTCATCTGCTGGCTAGCAGTGACTCAGCAAACAGCTCTGGTTCATTAATGTTGGCAGCGTTCCAGCGTTTCTGGTGTTACAAAGATAAACCATTTGAGAACATGTAGGCACAGAGTTTTGTTTGGTTTTTTTGATCTGTTGCCATGCTCTTTACATTTGACTTCAGTAATTTTCTATTTTTTTGTGGCTGGTGCAAGTGAAATCTCTTCTCTTTCCCTTCTCTTTTGCTGTGGAGAACTAGAAGTAGAGAAAATCCTTTGAGGGCTCATTGGGCCATCCCTCAGCTCAAAGGCAGGACAAACAGGTTCTGCAAAGTAGTGATCCTGAATCCATAATTAAGCCTGGAAAAGGTCTTCCATGCCAGGCTGTCTCTTTTTCCCACTTCCAAATTACATGGTTGGCAAAATTAAACGTGATCCTTGAAACTTAATTGTATTTTCCCTTCCTCTGCCCCCAACTTCTAAAGATATAGTGATTTACTACATGTTGCAGGAATGGGATTCTTGAGACAGAAGTCTCTGAAATTCATCTTTATCACATTTCACCTTTAATACTAAAAGTTCCATACATTTTTCAGTATGCAAGCCCCTCCACCTTCCTGGTTCAGGCAAAGTTTTTCCTCACAAATTAACTTACACTCCAAAGCTCTTTAAGGTACAGTATGAGAGGGTCAGGTTAATTGTCAAGATAGGTCCAGGGTTATCCTAAATATTAATGGAAAAAAATGTGAGCAGGAATATAAAATAAAGAGGGAAATTAACCTCTAGAGTTTGCAGAAGTGATAAAATAAGCTTATTATGAAAGAAAAAAAAAAAACAACCTACTATTTTTCATATGGGTAGGTGCTAGATAGCTGCAAAGAACAGGAGGCTTGGAGATATGAAGTAGAAAATAGTATGTTAAAGGGAAGAACATCTTCTGAACACCAGATGAAAGAGCTTGGAAAGGAACAGCAAAGTGTTTTGCTCAAGGGTGATACAAGGGAGGTTGATTTAACATGAGGGATGACAGTTGACAACAAACATTGTTAACATATTGTTAACAACAAACTTTGCATCTCTCTGGAGAGGTGATTTGTATCCAGAGCCGGTGATATACCGAACACCTTTGTTTCAACAGATGAAGGAACCACTTCCCTTATTTCTCTATGAACAGTCATTTTCTTGGAACTCAAACTGAAAGGGCAGTGCTCTTTCATCTCTTCCTGTTACCAGCCACAGTGTGTCCATCCATGTGTGTCCATTTGGATTTTTAGATTGGGTCAGCTGGATTTACTCCAGCTCTTTCAAAGCCTCTTTGGCAATAATTCAATATTTTCCATGCTTTACTCATGCTTGGATCCAAATGTTACAGCAGCTGATGGATAGATGACACTCCCTCAAAGTAAAAACAAACAAACAAAAACCCACCAACATCAGGAAATAAAGGTTTCCAAATTCTACCTATTCTGACTATCCCATAAAATCATATGCCAAATTTTTAATAGAAGTTTACTGTTCAAGGCATGTAGATTTTCCCTAGAAAAAATACATTTTTAATCTTTCACCTCTCAGTTATAAAACAAAGCAATGATGAGGGAAGCTAGAAGCACAGGTATTTTCTCATACCCGCTTTCCCAGGTGAATTTCTTAACATTTCATTGAATTTCCTCACATTTGTGAGATGAAACTTCTGTAGGATTGATGAAAATGGATTCTGAACTATGGAAATAATTTCTGGCAGAAAGTCCGTAGCCAACTCCAAGCCACACCCAGCCCTGACAAAGACAGAGCTAACTAGATGACAAAATGCAATTAGATGGAAGATTTTTTAAATCAGTTGTGAGTTCCAGTTAGGCAGTTTCTCAAGGCAAGAAAACGGGCTTTTGTCTTCCTCTTTGTGGAATAATTGTTGTTACAGAGCTGAGCTCACAGCAGAGGAAAGGAGAAGGAGCCCTTTGGATGCTTTTCCCCCTTGCAAAGTTTCTGGTCTGTTTCTGACATCAGTTTCATAAACACATTGTGACTTTCACCTGAGCTACTAAGATGAGATTGTTTTGTTTACCTTTAACAAGTAGTAAACTCGTGGCATTTATTTTTCTTAATGTGTTATGCAAATATAGACTTTTTGATGAATGGATTGTGGAAGTGGAAAGGAGAAGAAATGTTTGATACTCGTGTTTCTTTAGTTATCCTGAATGGTCTTCATTTGATAGTTATGTAGTGTGAATCTCAGTGACTCACTGAGATTTAAGAGACTGCAAGACATGTCAGCACAGAGCAGAAGTTGTAGAACTTAGAAGTGGGGTGAGTGAATCTGATTTGCCTAATTCTGAGCTCACTCATTGTGGATTCAGACGTGTGGCAAATACAGTTAGGTTCATAAGGACAAGGTTGGAATTGAGAAAAAATCACAGAATGACAGAATGGTGGGGTTGGAAGGGACCTCGTGAGATCATCCAGTCCAAACCCCCCGCAAAAGCAGGTTCCCTACAGCAGGTTGCACAGGAAAGTGTCCAGGTGGGTTTTGAACATCTCCAGAGATGGAGACTCCACACCCTCTCTGGGCAGCCTGTCCCAGGGCTCTGGCACCTTCACAGTGAAGAAGATTTTCCTTCAGTTTGTCTGGAACTTCTGGTGTTCCAGTTTGTGCCCATTGCCCCTTGTCCTGTCACTGGGCACCACCCAGAAGAGCCCGGCCCCATCCATTTGGCCCCCACACTTCAGATCTTTATAGACATTGATCAGATCCTCTCTCAGGCTGCTCTTCTCCAGGTGAACAGTCCCAGCTCTCTCGGCCTCTCCTCGTAAGGCAGATGCTCCAGGCCCCTCATCATCTTTGTGAGGAAAAAAACCAGAGAGAAGCAGAGAAATGGTGTGATGGGAAAGCAACCTTAAGGAGGTTTAATTTTGGAGTATGTAGACATGCCAGCAAATTTGGATTTGTATTAGGTAGGACTTGTGCAGCAAGGAAAGAACTGGGGTGCAGGGAGGTATGTGTGTCACTGGTACATATCGCTG